CCAACGATCGCCAGGCACGCAAGGTTATCCAGATTCGGTTATACCGCTGTACCTATTCGTTTGATCAACCTTTCTCCATCTAGAAGAGCCGAGCGGGCCGGCTGCATAGGCTGGCAAATGACGTGGGGCTATAACATCAGTGCGCAAGGCTCGTCTGCGTCGTCCCAACGGTCAGGTATCTGTCATTCATTATGCGCGCCACGACTAATCTTCATTAGCTGACTCTTGATAAGATTTCTCTGAAGGGTATCTTAAGCGACTAGGGTGTGTCGACCGTTGTACCAATTGAAACAAAAGTATAATGAAAACGCAGTTCTGGCATGTGTAACCGAAACTGAATTTCCTGTTCTGACAATAGCAGGCGCTGTTAAATGGTTGAATCCTTCTTAATGAACTACCTACTCCAAGGTCCTCAGCCCTTTTCTGGCCCAGATTCGGTAGGTAGGCATTTCCTCGCGGTTATTAACGCGACATTGACCTACATATATGCGCCCCTAGCCTTTCCTGCTTGTCTGCCTGCGCTAAAGCTGGTTAACTAGCGCTTTGAATTGGATGCCGGCGCCATCCTTCCTGACCTTCCCCGTCCGCTCGGTGGCAGGCCTATCCCATCGGCGTGGCGCGCGGTCAAACGGCATCCTTCCCATTTGCCTAGAGTAATATCTCTACCTATACGCCGAGAGAGGTAAAGGAAGAGGAGTTGCGCGTGTCGTCCCGGATCCCAAGGAATGACAATGCGGCGAGCTTCCTCTTCCTGTCACCGGGCTCTTTACGCCGAGTAGGAATCAGCCATTGATTCATTCATTCATGCCTGCCCTATTTGTATCAACTCAACGAAACTCAACATCAGACCTTTTAATTTCTTTCCCCACGTGGGTGCGGAATACCTCCAGCATACTCATTCTGCCTCAGTTTGATTTACCCTCTACAGCACCAACTGCGGGGAGTCTATCTATCCATCCACGATGTTAGTTAGCCCCCTTCGCACACCCATAAAAGCCGTCCGTCTAGGCAGGTAGCAACCTGACCGCAGCCCAAACAAAACTGGTGCAAGATCTTCCCAAGCTGAGCGCACTCGTACGAACCGTCTCCAACAACACGCTGACCGACAAGGAGTCCTGAACGGCGACCTATTCTCGCCTATGCAACATGCAATTGGCGTTGGGTGTATTGTTTCAACCGCAACCTGCCGCGAATGCCGGGCCAGGAACCGTGTCGCCACTAGTTGTGAATGCTATCAGGGTAGGGTAGTCGAGTTTCATGGTTGGTCGAGGCTGAAAATGTGACTTGCTATTATCAGATGATCCCTTCGTTACTTGACAAATTAGCATGCATGTGCTTAAAGTGTTGATAACTACCAAATGTCTCCTTTAATCTTTTTGTGATCTCGCTGCGATGGCTGTGCTCATATCGCGGAAACAGCAGCTATGTCTCCGGCTGGAGGCTCGAGCGCAAAGATAAAGACTAGAATGGGCGTAGATTACTCTTGTAAGGGTCCAAGGGACTTCAGAGTTAGGAGAAAATGCAGCTGGAAATTTGAAAAGCCTCCAACAGTCCGCGTGCAAAAGACTTTGTAATCGCTGGTATGATTGGTTTTGATTGGTCTAGCTAACGAAGCTGGTACTGGAAATTATCTGCATCATGCGAGAGATATCACGTATTGCAACCTGCGTAACGAGGCCAACAACAACCACCAACACGTAGCAAGCCACGAACATTAGTCCAGCTACCAAGAATAACTCTGTCGTCACCAAGGTACCCCACCTTCGTAGCCACTCCAAAGTTTTTCTCCTTTGCCTTTTTTGTTCACCTTTCTCTTACTGGATCAACATCATATGCACTATATATGTGTACTCTCCATACCATAACAATCTGACAATAGGAAAAAGTTGCCATACACTTTCATGTATTACAAACCACCACTTGACCATTTGATCATGGGAAGGTAATGTTCGTGCAACGATGAATACATTATGCGTAGGTCCAAAATGAGTCTAGCAGCTTGTCCGCCCCAATAGCCGTTCTCAGCATCTCCTCATACCCGCATCAAACTTCGTGGCAATGCACGCCGTGGGGGCGATGCTAGTTACGCGTGTCTCTTGCCGGCAAAGCCGACTGTTGCGGTGCCCGTGGCGAACGTTGGGGGCGGGCTGAGTGTCATGACTGTCGACGAATATGACACAGTGGTAGAGTTCAATGACTCAATGACAGAGCTCGATGAAAGGGTCAATGTCACAAGTTGCGAGGTATGTGATGCTTGTGAGGTCTGTGTGGTACCGGGTGTCGGGGTAGACGATGGCCAAAGCGTTACTTCTGATACCGTGATGGTGGTAAATCGTGGCGTTGCTGAGTTAGATACAGTCTCCGTGACGGTGACAAAGGTGTATGAAGGCTGTCCTGTCGGAGATGGTGCTAAAGTCGGGCTCGCCGTAACGGTGACAAACGTGAAGGGAGGTGCCACAGAGGAGGGTAATGGCAAGGCGATGGTCTCCTCTGAGTACGAAGTAAACGTGATGGTAAACGTCTCAGTGACCTGTTGGCCTGGAATTGTCTGTGTCTTGCTGCTGGCAGGCGGCCAGCCGCTGATGGATCCCGTGGGAGTCCAGGTGATCGAGTTGTCTGTCACAGTGATGGTAGTGGCCGTGACCACCTCGGAAGACCAAGTGGTGAAATACGAGGTGTTGGGAGAAGGGCTGTGCGGCCAGACTGTCGTGGTTGATGTCCATGGTGTAGCCTCAGGCCAACCGCTGATAGGGTCGGTGGGTGCGAAAGTGGCCAATTCTAGGTCATCATCAGGCTGGGCCTTGGGCGGAAGGGCATAAACGCAGAGTGCCTGGATGGCGACGAAAAGGGCGTTGAGGGAGGAGATATGCATCTTATCCTCTGGTTGGGGGGTAAACGAATGAAGGACAACAGGTCAGTTGGCTTGTACGGTCTCCAAGTGCACTGAACGAGACGATAGCTGGACTTGTCCTCGTCAAGGTGGCCCTTTGTGTCTCTTCCACCGTCTGCCTGTGTGTTTGTGTCAGGTTGAGAGAGATGGGACAAGATGAAAAGGAGAGAAGATGACTTGGAGGCCTTGTCGACCGGGCATAACACATCTTGTCACATGGCAACAGCGAGTTTGAATGCCAGAAAAACGAGAAGCTGCGTTCCTCAAATTTCAACAGCTCAGCACAACTTGGAAGTAGGTACTCGATAGTCACCGGGAAGGTGAAGCCGAGTCAGTGTCTGCACAGAAAGAACGGTCATATGACGATCACTTGCAGTCAAAGGGGATGCCCGGACGCACCGGGTGCAACTGCTCGCATGTTTCCAAGCTGCTTCACATCTAAATCCATTCGGCGGCTCTATATAGCGTGGAAATGATGCAGTCATAGTCCCAAATGTCTGTTTGATGCATTTGCCTCACTTGGCATGCCCAAGGAGCATTTAAAATAGACCCCCAAGTACTTGAATTAATTCATACGAGTGATCATCAGGTCTGCGGACTGGCTGAGTAGTACGCAGACCAGGCCGGGCATTACCGATGCCTGATGAAACAGCCTCGTGTGTTCAAGCATGTAAATAGGCAGGCATGTAAGGCAACACAAGCGCGGCAGGAAGGACGTTTGGGAAACATCGGGTGATATTCATCGCACTTCACTCGGAGGTTACCTACCTACCTACCTAGGTACATACATATGTAGGTTCTCCTTCTATTCCCCTTTTTCGTTCCCTAACACAGCCTTCTACTACGTCCCCCCTCCTAACCCCATTTACCTACTCCAACTTACACAGGCAGTACCTACATATGTACCTACCTATTATGTTCACAGGTCGTACAGCCTTGGAAGTGTACGACATTGCTTTTCAGGCAACTACCATGGTTATGCCGTTGTTCCTCAGCTACCGACTACATGTGTGACCTGAGAACATGCCTTGACTTGCTCAGGTCGCGCACAGCCTTCATCCTGTGTACTTACCTAGTTTGTCACGAACCAGATCTCATATTACTGCGAGCACCTGTGAAAATAAAGCATCCCACTGAGGTTTGGCAGTATGCCTGCTGGGTAGGTAGTTAGCCGATTGGCATGTTGCCCCCACGCCTGTGTAGCTAGGTACGTAAAACGATATCGGATTGCTGAGAATTGTAGTTGCTAGGAATTTATGACGGGAAAGGCATTGTTTGAGTACCGTACAACTAGCAATCCCCCGACCCGAGTCAAGATAAGTGTACCCTGCTTTGGAAACACAAAATCCAAGGGTTTGCCGGCGTATCAAACAATGCGGTACATACCATGTGTGTGACGAAGAATATTGACTATAAGGGGTTATGTCATGTAAGAGGTAAGTACCTAACCTTGCCTCATCATCTCCTTTCATGAACACCCTGACGACCGCGCTTGTGCGGAAGCTGATTCCTGCGAAATATACCCTTCCGCTTATTCGCTATCACCGAGTTATAGCCAACAATTTACTTGAGTGACCATTCCTAGTTCAGTTGGGCCCCCATGGGCTACTTAGATGGCAAACCAAGTCCATATAACGAAAGTCTCTCAATACCTAAGATATTGTCATTAATACGGCTGCACGGTTCATGTGCTGTTCCTAGCTCCTCGCTACTCGGGTAGAGCTAAAAGCATTACTGACCAGGAAGAACTACAAGGAGAATAAGGTAAGTGTAAAATTTTCTTCTATATTTATTTCGTCAACGGGCTTTCAGTTCATCTGATTATTCGGTTATTATCAGCTACCAGGAGGAAGCACCGCAGCGCTGCAGCGCCTCTCTCTTATTCACACACCCTTCCCGTTACTTGCTACACTTTCATGGTTTGTATTCACACTGAAAATAGAAAATCAAAGTCTAGTGGAGGTTCGTGCTGTGCATGAACCCCTTGGGTCATCCTACCCGCAAGGATTCTGCAAACTAAGTGAAAGCTACATGGACTGCCACTCACAACTCCCAAGTGATTTACCATACGTCAAGGTCACATATCCGTTTTAACACGCCTGGTCCGAACATGTCTCTCGACAACAGGCACTTGCCCTCAAGATCGGGTAAAGATAACCCCCCAATTAGCCATCCTGTCACTAGATCGAAACCGCCCCTTTTAGCGAGTAGTGGCTCTGCCAATGCTGCATTCAGTAACACATCTTCTGCTAATGACACAAGCAGTGATGATAGTGACAGTAGCTGTCCTGGTAGTAGCATTGACCGGCTATCGCCCAACTTCAACGTATTGAGAGTTAGTTAATCCTTGTTTATTCTAGTGTTTATTCTCTGAATTAGTAGACCGTATAACTGAAACAGTGCCAGGTCAGCAGGGTTCGGCGAACGGTGCGTGGTCCACTCGCTTCTTTGCAAACGCATACCGATCAGCCAGGCGATGTGGACAGTGAAGCACGGTTCACTGACTGGGATGGGGAGAGCTTGGTTTACGCGCCTAATGGATCCTTCGTTGGCTGCATGTTCCCCGATGGCCGCAGCGAAGTTGCCCCTGAAGATTCTATCTCAATGAAGGGTGTCCATAGACGGCCGTATGGTACGTGCGGCCAAACATCGACAGAGATCACGTCTCCACCAAAATACAGAAACTGACTTCTTGCTACGAATTGTAGAGGATGTGCCATACGAGGGATCCGATGATGATGACGATGACGAGGATATCTGCTTGGGTAAGTGCAGCTATACAAAATCCGAATTTGAAGCGCGTTAAAAGAGAAGAAGAAGCGGTTGCTCTCAATGATTAACCCGTCGTGGTGATTTCATGCCAACTATTTATATATACGATATAAATGGCCTAGAAATCCGTTGTTGATTCTATAAGCTAACAGTTCTTGTAACAGATAGAAGCAGAGCGCCAAAGTATGAGGATCGGCTTACCAAACTAGGCTATGTTTCGAGACTACCAGATATTGAAGGAAAGCGACACTATCGCATCGAATTATCGTAAGCTACATTTCTCCTGGAACTGTTAATGACGAACTTACACTGCCTTTATTTATAGCATCGATAAATCACTTGAGGAGGACAAGATCCGTACTAGGCTGGGGACTATAAGCCTATCCACCTCCAGGCTTCCTATGCTCAACCACGACGGTCTTCAACCTAAGCTTGCTTCAGATTTGGGTCAGTTTCTTATCCATTTTCCTAGTCATGCCTCCTATAGACTGCTCACCTATGCATCATCTAGAGGGTTTCAACAACGGATTCTTAGAGGTCAAGAGATCGCCTGTTTCAGGATATGGAGTATTCGCTGTTTGTGACCTTGAACCCTTCACACCTATTCTCATCGAACGAGAGCTTTTTAGTGCCAACTCATTCGACCTTTATGATAAACTGGATGCGCTCACAGAAGAGCAGAGGAAAGCTTATCATGCTCTGCACAATCACAAGCGGACACCATCCGAAGACAGCCGCGCCGCCATTTGGCGCACGAACAGGTAGGTTAAGAAATACGTGGTGTCGCAACCACCCTTCCCAAAACCATTGAGAACCAGCTGTCACTTCAACTGACTTATGTGAAATACTGACGCTTTTCTGGGTTCCCTGCCATAGGTTCTCGATCAGTTCAAGGGGCTCCGTGTTTCTCATATCGTCGCGGTTCAACCACGCATGTGGTGATCGTAACAACGTCGACTACTCGTATGACCGCGACAAGAGATGTATGGTGTTTGTGGTCAAGAAGAATGTTGAGTCGGGCAGCGAGCTGTTCATACAATACGGCAAGGGTCCGGCTCACCTATTTGCTACATGGGGTTTCCGTTGCGCGTGTGGCGGCTGTGCAGGTCTCTCTGAGGACGATTGCAAAGCCATTAAGTCGTCAGCCTGGGGTGAAGACAACGATAACTTGGTGATGTGGTAGAGGGCTGCTAACGCATCGAATGCGTAATGAATGGGATCAACCACGCGATGTTGATAACGACATGTTATCATCTACTATGACAATTTCCTTATAGCTGTTGAATGATCCTAACTAGATTTATCTAACCGATACATATATATCGTATATGGAATGGGTCTGAAACCCTTGTGTGGCAGTTGGGAGAATCAAAGACGAGTTACAGTACCAAGAGAGGAAAAGGGGCATGGGTTATTGCCGGACAGGGACAGCAGGGATTATACAGAGCGTTGAGTTAGACATTATGTCATTCACCGAATTTAACTGCGCTGCCTTATCAACTTCAATATCGATCGTGTGAATCTATATGTAATTGGCCAACGCGATAAGTACCCAAGTCTCGTAATGTTATGATAGAACAGTACTGACTGGCAGATGGCGTGGTGACAGGAACATATATAACGCAAGACCATGTATTGACATAAACTTTCTTCCCTATAATATGTCCGCATCGCCACTTCTAACCACAAGGATATGTTCTAGACAAGTGTATACATATCTGCAACACACAAACCCACACGAAATATACAACAGCCACAAGCACGACGTGGTGACGCACCCAAAGAGCTCTCCGAGTGAGATGGATAGGATAGAATCTGAAGACATGATGATGAGCAACCCAGAGGTGCAAGTTAAACACAGGCTCTAACATATGGAAAAAGGTCTTCTATGATACAACTAACAATGTGTGTGCGGGACCGTAGTAACTGATACACTCTATGAACCGGGTTTTTATGTCACCACTGAATGATTGACCGCCGCTAGCTACTACAACCCACCAACACCGCGATTGATTTAAAAGTTCCGGCTCATGTCGTTCCTGATTCTCTGGAAGTCGAACAGACCCTCTACGTTGCCGACGGCAGTGACGGCGACGTCCTGGTCCCATAGCTTCCGGTTGGCGAAGTCCATGACGTCCTTCTCTGTGACCCGGTCGATGGTACGCTCGATCTCGGCGGGGTCCATCCGGCGACCGGAGGTGATGAGCTGGCGTCCGATGTCCTCAGCAACAGCAGAGGTGCTGTCGAGGGCAAGGAGACACGAAGCCTTCAGCTGAGCCTTGGCACGCTCGACCTCGGGCTGGGTGACGTTGCTCGAGAGCCGCGACCACTCACGCTGGGCGAAGTGGACTAGATCGTCGAGCTGAGTAAGCTTGTCGGAAACTAGGTAGATACCCCAAAGGCTAGAGAAGTTAGCGAAAGTGCAAGTGAGAAAACACGGCTGGACCTTACCCAGTGTCACTGTAGCTTGTAGAGAAGCTCATGAAGCTGTTGGCGAGATCGTTCTGGTGCACGAAGGCGGCAAGCTTGCTGCCCTGGTGGGGAGCGCTTCCCATAGCCTTGTCATAGTTGCCAACGATGGCCTGGGTGACTAAAGCAGCGAAGTAGTCCTCATCGTTCCAGCTGACACCCTCTACAGCAAGGGCAATGTGGGCAGCGCCGATGTTGTCGTCACGAATGCGGACCTCGGAGCCAATGAAGTTGGGCTTCCTCTTGGAGATTAAGTAGGCTTCGTTGTGAGGCGAAGTAGTTGGTAGACGAGAGAAGTTCTTCTCAGCTAGTTCGACTAGTTGCTCGTGGGGGATGCCACCGGCGCCAACGAGAACCATGCGGTCGGCAGTGTAGTTGGTCTTGATGTAGTTGGATAGCTCAGTTCGGGTAATATCGCGGATGTTCTCACGGGGTCCCAGGATTGTCCGGCCAAGGGGTTGGTGCTGGTAGGCGGTAGCGTGGAGGTGGTCGAAAACGACCTCGTCGAGTTGCTTCTCAACCTCCTCTGCCTCGCGGAGAATGACATCGCGCTCCCGTTCGATGGATGAAGGCTCTAGCTTTGAGTTTTGAAGGATGTCGGCCAAGATATCTACGGCCTGGGGAACATCGGAGTTGAAGGCTCGTGAGAAGTAGACGGTGCTTTCGCGCTTGTCGGGGGTTAGCATCACTATAAATCACGGCCGAAATGTGTATTCCACGCACCGAGGTGTAAGCGTTCAGGTGACCACCCATGTTCTCAATCTCGAGCTCCAGTTGATGTTGCGTCCGCTTCTGTGTACCCTACAAAACCGTCAGCAGGGCGAATTGGTGTCGCGGGGATGCGGAGATGGTACCTTGAAGGCCAGATGCTCGAGGAAGTGGGCGGTGCCATTGGTCTCCGGGGTTTCGGCTCGCGAACCGGCGTCGATCCAGACACCGACGGTCGATGTCTGCGCCCAGGGGGAGTATTCTGTAGCGACCTGGAAGAAGACTGTCAGAGAAGCAGGTTGCACGGGGTCAGAAGAGCAATTGGCGCGGGGCTCAGCTTACGGTGAGGCCGTTCTTGAGTGTGGTGGTCTGGGTCTTAGCACCGGCAGGAGACGAGACGGGGGTAGCGAGGCCGCGCTTGAATGGGCGGATGAGCGGGCTGGCAGCGCGGCTGCGCACCTGGCCGAGGTTCAGGGCGAGTCTCCTGGACGCCATTGTGGTGCGTTGGGAGGGTTGGGGTGGTGGGTGATGAGTGAGGATTGAGCGGTTTGATGGAGGTCGTGAGCAGAGTCGACGGCTTCGGCCCCAAAAAGCTCAAATTTTGGTTGGTCTGAATTGACATGCTCGGCTCCTTGTGGCTTGGGCCAGCGGTCGGTGTGGCGCAGAGGCTCCGTGTACTTAGGTACCTACCTAGGTAGGTAGGTAGATAGCCTGACCAGAAGCCTAAGAGTGTGTTCCGGGGCTGAATAATCGCTATTTGATTGGCCGCCGTCTTCCGACATTGACGAGCTGAGTGCTATCTATGTACCTACGTAGATGGTGTTCCCGGGAACTCGGGCCAATTAGGAAGCCCGTAATGGAGAGTCCGTCATCATCCGACTACCTATCTATACTAAGGTACGTACCTCTGAGGCTAGTTCATCTCCCTCTCTCCGCCAAACTCCACCGCAACACCTCCCCACCTCTGCCGCCACGGACTAGCTTAGGATCCTTATACCCGACCAACCAGCCTCACCTACACTACAATATACAATATATACCTGAATGTGCCTAGGCCAAGAAAGCACATGAGTATAGTACCCGCTTGGCACCGATTCTATGTGATCTCACCTCACCCTTCAATCCATATACTTGAGTATACAGGCAAATCTTGCAGTCAAGGCTGCTACACACAATCTGATAGTTGTCTTACCTAAGCATATTCCTAGGAGCTGCCTACAGTGCTGTTCCATCGCCTGATATCACCAAATCCAAAGCATATACATTCATCGCATAGTCTTTAATTTCATATCGCAAATCTACATATAGGTCTCAACACCAGCAGTGAACAATGGTAGCGGGGCTTTGTACTTTCCCACCATTGGGGCGAGTTTCCCAGGTCAAAAGCCAGGTCATCTCTTTCTCGGTCATCCTGGAGGCTGCGGATCACGATGCTGAGCAGCCATGGGAGATGTCTCTCTGGCATTCGTCCGGTGATCAGCCCTGGGAAGAGACCACCTTGTCGTTGGCTCTGGAAAGCGATTCGCCCTCATTCTTACGGCTACTAGACGGCTCAAGTCACGAACGGTTCTGTTATACTGCTGAGCTGCCTTTGGTATCTACTTTACATTTCACTGTGAAGTATCGCTCTAGTCCAACTAAGCCCTGGATATGGGCTAGAGATGAGCTAGGTGTTGACAACGGACTCGTAATCCTAAACCAAGAAGACCAGCACACGCTGGCCAGTGACCTTTCGCATATAATTCAAGATCTGAATCCTGAGTTAAAGGTTAGGTCTGTTGCGAGCCAGACTCCTCGCACACAGCTATGGACTGTTGAAGCTGTAGTCGGACCGTCACGTCACGATGTATCGGCATACGCTGACGTTGAGCTTGGCACCCCTTGGGGTAGCTTCGAACGGTAGGCCATTTTATCGCAACTTGATGCAAAAAGTTTTACCGGAAGTGTCTTGCAGAATTCGACGAGTGTTGGATTTAACCATGATATAGCATGTGGACTTCCTTGTAGCTGATATACTTCGACTTACTCGGAGAACCGACTAGATCAAATAAATATGATGCCTTTGCTAATATTTCTCAGTTATTTTGCATTGGTCCGCCATTCCTCCGCGTGGCTTGGTCCGAGACAAGGGAAGACTCATTTTAGCCTTGATAAAGATGCCTTACTGTGTTCTTTTCTCAGCCGTGAAGGAAAGCATCTTGTTCTATTAGGAATCAGTAACATCAATAGTGTCATAACCCTCCTCCGAAGCTCTGATTGTGGCACAGTGACAATCCATGTGAGTTCAGTCGTACTTGTTCAATCATATAACTCACATAGCTGAACTTGTCAATATAGATTCGCAATGATGAGAATGCAAGCTCCACTGGTATGGTACTAGCGGCTGTTGGTGATAACTGCGAAAGTGCTATTGCAGCCGCTGTTTATCACGCGCGGATCCTTATTCTATCTTGCACACAGAACACGTTGCCCCAAGAGCTCGCGGATCAAAGTGATGATATCAATCCCGAATGGGTACAGGACTGGTGCGATGGCTTAGGCTATTGTAAGCAATCAAGATACTATCACAGCGCTCTATATGTTGACATGTTCACTTTAACAACAGGCACTTGGAACGCACTTGGGCAGCAACTAACCGAAGATAAGCTCCTAAACGCCGTTAGATGCTTGAAGGAAAATAACATCCACATTAGTAATTTGATTATTGACGACAACTGGCAAGATGTGGACTATCATGGGCTTGACTCGAATTCATACGGCTGGAAGAGATTTGAAGCTGAACCTACAGCCTTTCCCAACGGATTAAAGCACACAGTCTCGCAAATCCGCAAAATCAGTCCTGGTATTGAAAAGATTGCTGTATGGCAGTATGTATAGTGAACCTCCCAACCCATTCCTTTCCTTTAATTCCTGATTACACTTCAGCCCAGGACTTGAATATTATTATTTTTTCTCTGTGGAGGCGTTTAAGTCTAACAGTCTTGAATAGCGCATTGCTTGGATACTGGGGCGGAATCTCACCTAGCGGGGATATTGCAAAGGAATACCAGACGGTTAAAATCCCACGGGACGGTTGGAAGGTCTCTGGGCCGATGACCGTCATTGCTAATGCGGATGTCGCAAGATTCTATAATGACTTTTACCAGTTCCTAGTGTCATGCGGTGTGGATGGTGTCAAAACAGACGCTCAATTCATGATTGACACTTGGTCCTCCGCAGATCGTCGTCGAGAACTTACGAACACGTATCTAGATTCTTGGGGAATTGCAGCTCTTCGGCATTTTGGTGATAGGGCTATCTCATGCATGTCGCAGGCACCACAGATACTATTGCGCCAACAGCTGTCACAGATTAGGCCAACAATTCCCGTGCGAAACTCCGACGACTACTTCCCGGATGTGCCGGACTCACACCCTTGGCACATATGGGCAAATGCGCATAATGCTCTTTTCACGCAGCATTTGAACGTTTTCCCAGATTGGGACATGTTCCAAACGGCCCATGAGACCGCTCATTATCACGCAGCTGCCCGGTGTGTTAGTGGCGGGCCTATCTATATCACAGATGCGCCTGGACACCACGACCTTGGCCTAATTAACCAAATTACAAGCTTGACTCCTCGTGGCAAGACCGTAATCCTTCGCCCGAGTGTAGTAGGCAAAACGATCGACGCCTACACTGGATATGATGAAGAGTGCGTGTTTTACCGTCACATCATCCCTTTCTGTTAAACAACTACTCCCTACTCCCATATACCCCTCAGAAACACTTAAAGGCTTGCGATATGGCAATCACTGACGCTTATTTGTGACAGCGCACTTCTCAAGGTTGGGTGTTACAACGGCAGATCTGCAATAGGGACACCTATTCTTGCTTTATTCAACACAACACCACACACTGTAACGGAAATAATTCCATTTGATTCCTTCCCCGGAGTCACTACGTCAACTGAATATGTAGTCAGGTCACATTATAATGGCAAGGTTGCTATAGTCAGGGACAGCGAGTCACGACAGGCTCATCTAGGTATAACACTGCAACGACGTGGCTACGACATCTTCACAGCATACCCACTGACTCACCTGGATACCGATTCCAACGGCCGAATCAGCACTGCTTCACTGGGCCTCATCGACAAGATGACTGGCGCTGCTGCTCTCATTGTCAGCCATTTTGAATTCCTTCCTACTGGCATGGTTTTCTGTACGACACGGCTAAAGGCCCTAGGCATACTTGGTAGGCCAACCCAGACAACTCCCCATTCGAAATGCTTTACAGACACCTTGCTAACCGCGTCTTTAGGGTTGTACATATCTGACCTCCCGCACATGTCGATCAAGAGTGATTTCATGATAACTATTCAGGGCTTACCTATTCCCTTTCACACTGTTACGGTGGATGAGAGAGACGATCATGTCTTGACTGTGGACATCCAGACAGCCTGGAGCGAGATGGGGTTGAATTCTGGTTGGAGTAATGAGGTTGAGGTGAGGATCAATTTCGATGCCGAACATGTCTAAGTACGGAGACTTTCATGTAGCTTTGTGGCTGTATGCTGGTCTCTACTGTTTTCAACATCAAGTGTGCATTTCACATGATTGCGGTACTAGACCAATCCAATTTATGCGAATATTTGCTTCAAATATGAAGATTCTATAAATGCAGTTATGATATCTGAAGTAGCAGAGTGGAGAGTTACTTGGCTCATGTTCTAATGGCCGAGTGTGTCGGAGGTATACTCTGTACGGAATATTTGAAGTCGCCGAGGTTTAATGTTAGCTCGATTGCAGCAATTATAGATTATTAAACAAGAGTGTTTATACTGATACTACACCCCCCTACCAAGCAAATCCGTGCGCCTAATAACTTCCTACCAAACTCCTTTACTTCATAGCTTCATAAAGCAATCAGAAAAAAATTGTAAAATTACAAAAAGACAATTATATGAAATATTGCTCCATAAATAGCTATAGGATTGTTTTTCTTTATATTTAACTACTTGTATGTTTGTCTTATCCAGCATTGAAAGTGGTAGGTTTTGGTGGGAAACTGGTGAGTGCACGGATTTAATTGGTAGGGGGGTGTACAACCAAGGTATAACTCTTTAGATACTGTATAACCACTATATGACTAGGCTACGATAAGGGATGGCTGAGATATAGCTAACTCGGTTTTACTTAGTACTCAGAGCCATATGAACCTTTCATGAACTTCTCGATGAGGTTGTCCCATAGAGCGGTAGTATCCATGGGGATATAGTTACCCTTCGACGTGTATATGGGCTCAAGGGACTCAGTGCGGCAGCTGTAGCTGGCGTGAATCTCGCGTGAGAGCTCTTTATGTGCGATCTAGCTGTCACCGAAGTATTCCAGCAATGTACCAGTGTAAGGAGCGAAGCTAGTAGCACATTTGAGGCGAAGTGTGGTAAGACATCTTCTTTCAGCGCTGCGTTGCTGATGGGCCAGCCACTGAGGTTCATGTATAGGCAGAATACGGTTAACAAACAAGCAGATTCAGTATAACATTGACCGCCCTTGGTAATGGTAGGCTATCATATTGAGGGGGTTCAGTTCCCTTTAGCGGTGTGCCCATTCGACAATGCGCTAGTTTGAAAGGACCTTACACTGCATCATGCAGAGTTAACTTGATCATGAATGCAAGCCAATGATTGATTCAGCAGAGCCTTTCAAACACAACAGCCTGTTCCAAACGCGTTTGCATGTCTTCTATTGTGACAAACGACTGTTGGCTTCCATAAGTTCAAAGGCTAGAGCTCAACGGAAGAGCTAGGTTAGTCAGAGAAGCATCAACAGCCATCATACTTTGGACCAAATCCTATAAAGGTCGGCCTCGGACACACCATCTACTCTCTCAACATATTATCCGCCTCACAACTTCGCTGCATCAACTGAAGCGTTGAAGTCAAGATTCATCAAGAAAATCATCACCAAAGCCACACCGCACCCACCATCAACTTAATACGATGGAGATCTGGCAGACAATCATCGACATCGCCACCGTCGTCGCGTATCTCTCCGCGCTGCGCATTTTCGTCTGGTTCCTCACCTTCATTCTCTTCTACAAACTCGGCATGTACGACCGCAAGCGGGCAGATAATCTTCATCACCGCCGGCGTCGTCTCGTTCCTCGCCGCGCCGGGCATTTTCGTCTGGTTCCTCACCTTCATCCTCTTCTCCAAAATCGTCATGTACGACTGCAAGCTGGCCTCCACAACCGAACCAATCCAGCTGCTATTCATAATGCACGAGATGTCCAGCAAGACCTCCAGTCGGTCTCCGCCGACCGATCAACCCAGTCGTCATCCAACAACGAACGAGGCTCCAACGAAGACGCCAAGTCGGTCTCCACCAACCAATCCAAGTCCTTGTTGTCCATGAGCACACCCAATTCCGATGAAGGAAAATATGCCGAAGCCTCGCAGTCTGATCCCAAGGTGAGCGAGCACGATTTGACTAGCGTCGATGTAATTTACTAACTTGGAATAGTGAGCGGTATTACCCTGTTTCTGGGCGTCAAGTTCACATCGTTAAGACCAAGAAAAACTATCAAGACCACTGCTGGGTTGATCACCAAGTCGTTGAAGAGTACAGAAGTATTAGAGCCACAAAGTCGCTTTCACGCGCTCGCCCACCGCTGCAAGTTCTCGACACACGGGGACAATAGCCATGTTGTCGTGAAATATGGAATTACTGTTTGGTATCGGAAAGTTGTGAGAGTTTCGTGGGAATTGGCACACAATGGGAGTTATTATCGGGATGGTATTCGTTGAATCGCTAACGCGATAATGGTGTTGCAGCTAATGCAACCAATCTTCATCTACCCTGATACCATCTAGATACTCGTCGTGAATAGGGAGACGGCGAATTAGCACCATGGGAGGTGCCCACGGTCATTGGAATCGCGTTGCTGCATTTGTAATGATTCATATCTCTGTTATCGCTGCCCTGGCTTTCTGCGCCAGGAATTGAGAAATCGCTTTCCTACCTTCTGCCCTGAACGTAGTATCATTGTGAAAAGCACCACTGACCGAAGTCCTGAGCACGGGTATTTGCAGCTCTAGACATCTGGCATAGAGCTTCTGGCTGAGTTCTGCGGGCACGATCTCGTCTTTGGCAGCTTGGACGATCAAGATTTCCGGTCGCGTGGCCTTTGTACTGTAAATGTCGGCGATAAGCCCGAGGTTCTTCCAACTGTCGAGATGGTTGCGTAAGAATGGCCAAAGGTACTTGTACGGCACCCACTTTTGCGGGTAGAGAGCCGCGAGCATGGCGCGAATTGATGTAAATGGCGTTTCTAGTATCATTGAGTTCAAGCGAAGGTTCTCGGGGAAAGGCCGCTCGGCCGCCAGATTGGTCGCCACACCGGAACCGATGCTATGACCCCATAACACCACCTGCGCCGGACTTTGGTGACCCTCGCGAGACGCGCCCTGGTGCATGCGGGAGATCCAGTCGAGCGCCGCGGCGGCATCAAGCCGAAGACCATTCTCCGTTGGCCGACCGCGCGATGTCCAATATCCGCGATAACTTAGACAGATCATTGTACATCTAGTTATCTTCTGCTCACTGGCCATCTCTCGTTTCAACATGTTTAATATTGATGACAAGTCCGGGAGACGAGGAGGAATAGACGAAGCATTGCCTAACAGATGGTAAGCTTCCAACTCAGATACGGACAGTACAGAGGTATATGCAAACCCTGGAAGTAGAGGATATAGAGCGTAGTATCCAGTGACCGGGCGCCGTTTTCAGATCCCAGCTCTAGATCCGTAACGCAGAGCGCTAGGTCCGTCCCATCAGCGGCGCGAATTCTTTCCTCGTGCCAGGAAATCCCGCCGAGTCTACCTCTATAGTCATTTATTTTCTCCCGTCGCGAATTTGGAGGTAGACCCGGCATGTAGATGATCTTGTTCTGAAACACCACCATCATGAAGCACTTCCAAGTCCACAATGATACTAACAGGCCGCCGAAGACGAAAGGCGCTAGCGCCGGGCCTTCTAGATGTATATATCTCCTACATGATGATGTCCTAGAGCCACTTGCGGTAAACAGGGTAGATTGTGTTATACCGAGGTGGCGACGGCTAAGTCCGAGAGCCGCTGGGCGAAGAAGCATGACTATTATAGCTCACGATGACAGCGGTTCTCGTACGCTAACAGCAGCGGTCTTACCCGCCGGTCTCGAAAATGAAGTGTTCGTGATTACACATTCTTGTTGAGATTAATGAGCTACGATTTATGACGTGAATGAAATGGCGTAAGATTACCCATGTTGTTAAATGTAACAGAGCGTAGAGAGAAAATGCAGCTGATGCCAGCTGGCAATCTATCATGCCACACGGTGAAGTCCAATTCGTCGACCATCCACTACAAATCGCACTCACAGGTGCATTGCGTATGAGATAAACGTTTACAAGATAGTTCCTGGGGGCTTCAGTAGTAAGCTCAAGATATAGATCATGATAGTATATTGGGGAAGTTTCCATGTATTTAGTACCAGCGGACTCTGCGTTGCCCGTCAATATATTTTGGGCTTGAGAACTGCCCTGCTGGCCCACGCATCTTGCTTGGGAAACGGATGTGACTACGAGTCGGAACGTACAGAACGTCTGAATTTCTAGCTGTCCTGAAAATCCTCCGACTGAATAATCACACGAGTCCCCGTATCTCACATGTTCTAAGAAGCTACACTGCAAAGTTGATATTCTGCGCAACGTAGCTGTGGTTCCTTCCTTTGGAGTGGATTCAAGATACCACTCCAATCACAGGAAAGTAGATATAATGGTGCTGATTGTTAGTTCTATATTCTTCCAACTCTTTCAAATTTGTGTCTTATTCTTATTTTGAATAAACATGATGTTGGCAACAGAATAATATGACACCAGGTATTTACTAAAGTGATTCTACGGAAACCCAATACTCCATAACCAACGATGATTCTAAAATGTTAGCTAAAATAATATTTCTTACCTTAAGGGCATTAACTGTTACTGGGTCATTTCTGCTGGTGAAAGGGATGATCCTTGGTAGCTCATATATAATAGTTGACGTGTCTAATTAAGACTCAGTCATAAATAATAATCATGCTCCAACAATGAGTCATCGAAGCATAATATTTGAACAACGCACAGATTAGAAAAGAACAAGTCCACAACCGAGAAGCCATCATGCAAAATCTCCGATAAGCTAGCCAAGAACGAGTAATACCTTCGAACGATACAATCTCTGATGAACGAAACCTCAGAACTACTTATGATTACCTGGCGGCATGATGGTCTACTAATCATCATTGTTAGATAAAGGCAGCATAAATATAGGTGCATATTTCATGCTCCGTCTCTTAATAGGATTACCTTAATCCTATACCGTACATTAAGATTAGTATTTCCTCAGCTCCTTCACTTGCACACCCTCATTTTTCAATCTCAATAAGAAGAGCAAGGTCACAGAGATGTTGCAATATGAACTACGCTGGCGACGGACGGGTGGTTGAGGGTGACCCGACTGCTATCACAGGAGCACCACGGGAATGTGTTCGACCTGAGATACAATACACCCGATCCGTTCCTTGGAATAAATATGCTGATCTTGAATCTGAACATACACATAAAATGTGATAAAAAGGAGTTCGGTTTAAAAAGACGCTTTAACTTCTCCACATGTTGAGATTGCTTCCACTTCAAGGGCTGCTTCTAATGGAACCGTGCTTGCTGATGCTCCCTTCTGACTAACCTTTTTAGGAAAGAAGTACATTTCATAAAGTGCACAATTCTACTCAAATGGAAGCAAGAACATATCACCCATGTAGACACAAGGAATTGTATGAGCCATGCAAGGTGTTTTTTACTGGTCTGATGTATTTACGTGCGGTGGACAATTAGACTACCATTGTGGAAATATCTGCAAAGTCGACTCAGCGGTCGAGGTACCATCAGATGTATTTCCCCATTTTACAGTTATCTGTCGCCACCAAGAATGAATTATGTCCCCTTAAGGGGGGAACGATGCCAATGTCTTGGGGACCAAGTCATCGTCCTTGGATGAGGAGCACCAACGGGCGCCCATAAATATCTCGCCGCAGTTGAAGAGGATAACATGCAAGCAGGTTAAACCTGGGAAACATTGCCCATGCATGCGTTTACTCTTGTTGATGAATCCGTCGCAGTTCACTGTGCCCTATTAGGCACCCTAACAATCGAGCAATTACTTCTCCTAATTTTCTTCAACTATTCCGCACAATGGGAACGTTTGCTCGCGCACATTTTCTTTTCCTCCCTTCAATCTGGGCGTTTCTGTATAAGGGAAAAATGCTGGTGGACGGCCGAATTCGCAAAGCTGAAATCAGATTTTTTTTGTGAGATGGCAATCGATCGTCGTTTTGATGCAAGATAACTCGCGCAAGGGGTATGACTGAAAAAATTTAAAGGAAATGAGCTCGAATCAAGTCGCTAATGCCATGGAGATGTCCTTATCCGTCAATTTATGCAACAATCTTTCTTTTTTTTCTTCCAATGGTACAGGTCGTGCGGTGTGAAACTGGCAGTGGTGCCCGGAATGTCCTCGAAGGGTCGAAGACAGATATAGACTGAGATACCCTAGCCACCGCGGACAACCCAGGGATCGAGATGTAGGGCTCCTAAGCCACCATCTGGCCCTGGTATTTGTCGTACGGGTATGCGGCATAGTGTTGCTGCTGTTGGCGTTGGGGATATCCAGTCATGGTAGGAACTTGAGGTGTGGGGGTAACGGGACACCTAGGTGGAACATATTTGTTCATAGGGTCTGCTGCGGTGAAACAAACACCATCGGGTGTGATGGGCGGTGTCATGTAGCCATCGGCAGGACCAGGGTTGGCACCACAACCTTTTTGTGGGGTGTTGTATATAGCAGAGTGGCTGGAACTCAGAGTCGGCTCGGCAGGAGGAGAGGGAGGTGCTTGTTGTTGTGCTCTCCTGGAAATGGCGGCTTGCCGTTCTAGGAACTCGGCGAGACTCGACGAAACACGAGACAGACCGGGACCAGAGTACTTCCTTGATAGCGTGATAGAAGGATGATGTAGATGCTGCGAAAGCGTCAAAACCGTCAAGTGTTCAACGTTATCCCATGCACCATCATTCACTTCTGGTCGTCCGAGTATAGCTCTAGCGAGGGCGAGAGAGGCTCGGGCCATGATCGACGGTTTCGTGGAAACAAAATCGGGATGATATAGCGCAATCTCACAAAGATATGCGGCCATATGCTCGACTTCTCGGTCATCTCCCTCCTCTGCTATGATCAATTGGGCAAACAAGTCGACAGTGGGATGGCCGATAACCCAATCGAGAGTGTTGAGCACATGCATCTCCATCTGAGTAAACATGCCAGAATCGTATAATCCACAGCACATATTATTCAGCTCGTTGATCTGAGGTACTCGATCTTTCTTGTCTCCATACTTGGCAGCAATCAATAGTGCTGCACACCCAACGAGTTGATAGTGCTGTTTGTAGACTACTCGCTTTGAGCAGTAGCGATCTAGCAAGTTGATCGTCAGAAATAAAGTCTCGGGTAATAGTGCAAAGGCAGCGTGAGCCTCAATGAGGAAGTCAATCAAGTATGGTCTCATAAACCACTGGATTTCTCGCTGCATATCGATGAGGTTGGCGTCAGGTAACGTTTCGTCCTTTGATATTTGTTAGTCATCACCCTTCGCTTAGAAACCCTCTATAATATGATGCACTCCGGTGCTGATAACGTGAGGTTGAGGAACTTTTGTGCGACATCATAACTACCAAAAATTACTTACTTCCATGTGTCTCATATGCTGCATGATATCCTCGAGGTACTCATCGCCCGCAAGACGCGAGAGTTCATTGGCGATCATTTCTTGCCGATTACGTGCCAATATTTTGGCAGCATCCCTCATATTGATGCGCCGCGGCTCATCGGTCTCGATGAAGAAGCCATTGTCGCTTGAGTCGTACGCCATGATGAATGTAAAAAGCTGTGAGACAATTGAGACGTGTGGTTCGGAGGTAAGGTAAGAGTGGAAAGAGTGACGGTCAGGTTCTCCAGGAATCTTGGTGCTTGAGTGAGCGTATTAAGTTGGTCGTCGCAGTTGTTGAGTAGAAATGAGCGTATTATCACAGATGGACAGACCGTATCAACATTAGGTAATTAAAGAGTGTGGTGAGTATCTTGAAGAAACAGAAAAAGAAAAAAAAAGAACGACGAGAGGTCAAGATGGCTGCCGCGAATTGGTGGTGTTCGAAGGAACCAGGGCCGGGGAGTAGACCCTCTTTAAAAGATGCTGAGTGAATGGCTCTAAAGAAGTTCGGTCAGCCCTAGAATCAGGTACAATGCATGTAAATTGCAGGGAAAATGGGGACGCGCTGAATGTGCTACAAGCAGGGACACAATATAGCCATTATGAGTCGAGTATTGGCCGATGTGGGGGAGCTCCGGCACGCGACGAAAGTGTGTCTCTTGTCAACCTTAAAAAGGGACTCAGATAGCCATGTGTGCAGATACTGGTGTGCATTGATCGCAATAGACTATGACGTGGGCAGTTAAGGGGGGTTATTTAGGAAAGAGGTCTCCCTTACCGCCACGATTAGTCGCTAGGAAATTAAACGATTCCTGAGCACGGTGGGAACAGCGAGTTAACGGGTCCCACGAGGCAAACCTTTCTGCTCAACACAGAGAAGAAGCGTGCGTGTAGAGAGAACCGTTGGGTCACAGGGAACCTTATCGGCATGCCACTACAAGAAACGAAACGCATCAGAATTATTTGACCCCCAAAAACTGCTGTAGACCTAATACCCTTCAATACCACATACCTCTCTACACAAGCGACGCTTCTATCAGGAGATAGTCGTTCAAGTGACTGGGCTCATATAGGCTCGTAGGCAGGATGCTCCAGTCAGAATCAGACTCTAGCGTGTAGAGTCCGAGACTGATGTGTCTGGAGTAGATCCACTCTATTTGGGGATAGCCAAAGTCAGATTCCAAGTACCGCTGGCACGAAGGACCGGCAGAACTCTCTCTCAGTCGGGGAGGGAGAATCGACCGAGGAATGAGTAAGGGTATCGACCGCAGATTTGGGTGCTGACCCAAAAGGGGGAGAGCAGGTGGAGGTGGGGGGATGGGATGAGCCGAAGGGAGGGAATGTGGTGATTTGAAGATTCCTCGTCAAAAAAAGAGAGATTAATTGCGAGGAATTCCAGTTAGAAGAGGGACGATGGGCGCGGTTGAATAGTCGAGGAAGGAGTAGGATGTCTAACGAGCAGGATAGGGACTCTATCTGCTATATGAAGTCGTTGCTGACCTTTTTGACTCTTTTTTTCGTTCCCAGACAAACCAGCAACCTTGGAAGCGGCACACTCTCGAGCTCGACCTCTGTTCCTATTCGCTTTCGACTAGTGGCGGGCCCTAAGGGGGTTTATCTCTCCTCCTTCCCTCTCCTTTGCATTGAACAGGGAGACTATAGCAGGGAGGCAAGTCTAGAGAGAGAGAAAGAAGGAATAAATCGGATGGAGGAGGACGGAGAGAGAGGTGAAGGGGAGGAGAGGAGAGTCGACCTCGAGTTGGAGGAGGATGCAGGAGATGAAAAAGGATTGGAAGAGATTGGTGTTTGGGAGCGCAGGTACTTTTAAGACGCCCACGGGTACGAGAGACACCAGCAAGAGAGAAGAGCAAGCGAGAGAAAAACCCACAGCTACACGGGGCCATGTACCTCCAGGCGACGTATGTGCCATGCTGTGACCAGCTGTGTCTCTGCTGTAGGTACACGGCGGACAGCCTCCACGACTATGTACCGGGGAGGTACCGACATGGATCGTGGGCGTGGGTGGTGGATGGTGGATGGGCACTAGAGACAGATACAGCATCCAGATACAGGGGGGACGGGGCAGGAGGCACAGAAGGGAGAACCACTGCACTGCACGCTGCACACCACTGCAGCACCAAGACCGGGATGGCCCAGTATAACAAGCGTTGTAACGCAGGGGCTAGCGACCACCGCGACACGGCACGACCTGTGAGAAGCCAGAGACCAGCGATGGATCAGTGATGGCTGAGATGCAGGTCAGAAGTACCTTCAGCTCCCCAGAGCACAGTTTGCTTGGATCACCTCTGACTGTCTCTGACTGCTCCGACTGCTCTGACTCTCATGTCACGTACTGTGCCGTACCCGCGTCGGGAGGCACAGTAGCCCGTGCACCGTGCCCAGCTTCCTAACGAACTCGTGTACCTGGGGCACGCTTAGGTACCTGACCAGACACCACTAACTCTGCCTAACGAGTCCTAAGGAGCAACTGTATCGTGCGCTAACAGCAGAGCGCCGGGTCACAGTGCCGAGATCTGGAATCCGCACGCACGGAAGGACTCGCACTACTTATGTACTTATGAGCCTGTCTTCTACACACTGTATCTTATAACGTGTGTTTTGTTGGGCAGCCCAAGCCACAGATGGCTTTACTGTAAGGTTAATGGGATTTACTACATTAAGCATATTTAATAAAAGCCCACCTCCCCTAACCCATGTATATATATTGTGACGGTGCTTTGGAAGAGCAATACCGACAATGGTTACGATGATGTATGGTGCGTAGCGTAACTGTAATCCGGTGCTGACCCCATGTTAGCCTAATAGGTATCCGCAGGTTGTACGGGCTTGTGTCAAGAGAGTAAGAAATCCTGCCTTAAAACAAATCCCAGCCTCGCTACCTCTCTCTACCTGCGCTGCACTAGATTCAAGTGTCTAGGTATCTTAAGCTACCTAACGGACAGCTAGTAAGATAGAAGAAATGCACCTAACAAATCCTGTTTCCAGAGAAATACAGTGTGAGGCCAAGACGGCACAGTATGAAATAGATTGAGACAAGCTTGCGAGGAGAGCCTGCCCAGACCTGCCTACCGCTGCAGTGGATTATAGTGCCTACAGGTACCTACCTACTGTACATACGGTAGTACATAAAGTAGGTATCATAGGTACCTGCTGAAGCTGGCAGGTTATCATAATTAAGCGTGCCGTCTCCCTATGGTATGTCCTGTCTCCGCCTCTGAGCGGTGTAGATGATTGATTGTACAGGTTAAAGAGGTAATAACTATTGACTGGCTCTCCGGCTGGCTTGCTCCTGTTCCAGTTCCATCTGTTCGGCCGAACAGTCAGGCACGCAGTCAGTTGCCAACACTAATTAAGGGCCGACTATATGGTTCGCCGAGGAAACAAAGGCCTTGATTGCGAGTCGTGACATGGTAGGTATGCCTACCTACAGTAGTGTTATGTACCTTGCTTACAATGTAAGAGACGCCAACGGTCTGGTTCCGCATTGGATGCAGGACTAGAAGTACCTAGGTAAGGGCTGGCCGTAAAGCATTGCCTGCCAGCCTATACGCAACGTACTGAGGACGAACTTCATACGCCCGGCCCGTCGGGTGCGAGCTTCAAGGCATGCAGTAATGGTAAGCACGTGTATCATGATGTGTTGCAAGGTAGGTAGGGAGGGAAATGTAAGTATGCACTCCTTCGAGCGTGGAGGAAGAATCTTTGGAGATTACAGTATTACAGCGGTGTAGGTCTGCAGCAAAGGTACATACATACACACCTGCATACATATAATAAATGTATGTATGCCGACAGTGCCTTGGAGCAAACAAAGTAACTGTCTACAGCAAGTACAACAATATGACAATTGTCAAACAAACGGGTTGTGGCTTGACATGTTAAGGTAGTCTGATAGACGTTTGCAGGTTGGCATTGTTGAGGTACGGTGGAAGCACTACTCCGTAAAACCCGCACTGTTATTAATGCACGCCTTGTTTGTAGAATGTACGCATCATCTTAAATCGCCAAGACGGTTTGATCCATGCGCTTTTGCTGGACATTAGTGTCGACAATGCTTCAGAGATTACCATCCATAGGTAGTCCTCTAGTACTACCGTAGGTATTCGAATAATGTGTCAATGTGGTGCTTTGCAGATGGCGACGGTGACGACGAACAACCTCAACCGGCCAGTCAGTAGTCATTGCATAGTCGTAACCAGGCCTACAATAGAGACTGCTCACCTGATTATGCGTTGTTCAAGCTGGCCCTCCATGGCCTCTGCGACCGAGGCCAGCGCTTCAGGTACACCAAGTAAGAGGTAAGTAAGTACCTACATACATACATATGGATCATCACGGTCCAAGGAGCTGAGCAAGTGGTGCAGTGCCGGTGCTACAGTGGCCGATTGAGATATGCACGTAATATTACACCCTCAAGCCTCCACGCGCAAGTCCCTACCTACCTGGTACCGCCAGAACTGCAATGCTCTGATTTGTGCCCAATAGTGCGTGTGTGGTGCATGTGGCTCGCTCCACCAGATAACCTGTGCAGACTGTGGCCTGGCTTGGGTCTTGGTCTTGGGCTTGAAAACATCACGATTCCCATGTCTGCGCAGTAGTCTAGTGCATAATTTGCAGTCGCCGATGGCCGCAACACTCCGACGAGTTGTCGTCGTACCTTGTCCATTTTCCGTGGCCGGATACCGACCATGTAGGCCATGAAGAGACCTTTTCCAGGCGCACTCAACGCTCCCCACATGAGGTTGGTTGGTATAGGGGAGCCCGTCCATCAGTCAATGAATCAGTTGATAGAAGCTTGAGATGGTCGGCTTGTCGCGTTGTCGGCGACCTGTCTAAGTACATCAAAACAATGGCCGTATCGTATCATGCATGCCTTGTTCGTGTCACCATGTCAGAGAGGCTTAAAGACCATCTCAGAAATGGTCTCATCTTTATACTTGGTATACACGATGGACCCTTGCGCTCGCTCACATTAAACGACGCGAGTGGGAGAGAAAGAGAGAGAGAGAGAGATTGTACGCATCTGTACGCACTCTACGCTAGTAGTATAACAGCACTGTAACCATATGGTAGGGCTCAATATCTGTCCAGTCATATATGCCAGCATGGGAGATCTTCTCCAAAGTGAGAATCTATAGAGA